ACCTAGCTGCTTCTGTCTGGATATACGTTTAAATGATCCTAAAGAGAGTGTTCCCCTTCCCCAGTGAAGTAATCATGTCTCTTCATCACTATATTGAAAATAAATCAATGTTTTGTTAAGAACTTATGATATTACATGATTAAGGACATACCAAGATGAATAAGCTATGACTCCTGCCCTCAGGAAGTTCACACTGTAGTAGGGAAGATAAGCTTTACAAATAGCTATAATATCAATTAAGATCATCACTTACTTGTGGTGACTTTCAGAAGACCTTCATCGCAAAAAGAGGTGATAAGAACTTCTCTAGGTAAAAATGAGAGACTGCACAGAATATTGATTTGCCATTTTCAAACCAAACTCCAAAAATCTACCTGGATTACCTTTAACTTTTGGTGTGATAGTACAGATGGTGGGACTAGATGTCTCATTTCAAGGGTCTTGACACATCTAAGACTCTGCTTCCTTATAAAGTTAGCTCATGTTTAGAGCAATGCCATTACATTATTTGCTTATCAATGACCAAATGCTGCCTAAATACAATAAGAGAGCCTTAAACCAGGAATTAAAAATCAGCTGTTCCTGTTGTCTTTGGTGGTAGTTCCTGTTCCCCTAGACTGATAATGCCTTTTTTTTTTCTAGTGGATAAAAGCAGCTGGGGAAACATACAGTAAGAATGACCAAGTTGTTTGGCTGTAGTATCTTAGACCTTTCCTACATCCTATGAAATGCTGAATATGGGGTCTAAAACAAGGCGTCTACAACATGTAAAGGGAATTCAAGGCAGATGTTATCCATCCCTGCCTTATAGCTGGTCTCATTGCCTCTGAGAAGTAGGGTGACCCACTCAGGGTCATTCATTGTAGCTCTGGTAGAACTTAAATAGCTGGAGGACCAACCTGATGGCCAATTTACCAATTCACAACACTATGACACTTAAATTTCACATGGATTCTTAATTTAGAAAGCTAGTTGGGGGAGTGGGTGGTGGCTAATCCTAATGAAATGATTCATTTTACTAATAATAGAAGAGCAAGTTCTTCAGTGGTTAGATGAATGAGTATAATGAAACCAGAGATATGCAGAAAAGAAATGTTAGAGTAGCATCTAAGGGAATCGAGATCCACCAGCTTGGTTGTTTCTTTAACACAAGACATTTCTAAGGGACAGGAGCATGAGGGTTCATATAGCTATTTAGCCAAATCATGTCCTGCAGATAGTTCTGTCTACAGGATTATCCTCGTGTTCCCACCTGTCAACTTCGTGAGTAAAATAAAATTATATATATATATATATATGTGTGTGTGTGTGTGTGTATGTATGTATGTATGTATGTATGTATGTATAAAGAGGCTCCAGGGACAGTGAAGTGTTTCTTGTTGACCACTTGTTTTCTTTCCATGTTGCTTCCCCCTTCACTCTCACTAATTCTCTAGCTTCACTACTGTGAAACAGAGTGGGGAGAAGAATGAATGTGAAGTTACCTATCCTCCAAATGAAAAGAAGATGAGGTTGGCACATCAATGTCAAATTCCAGCCATTTTGATGCCTTTTTGATTTCATTACTCAAATCACTCACACCAGCACAACATAGGTCATGCTGTAAAATCAATGCTAGTGACTGCTTAGCTTAGCTAATGGTGTGAATTATGGCTTGTTGAAGAATAAGCCTAAAGTGAAATACAGGATACATTCAGAGAGGCATTTGTGTCATTGTAGAGAATCCAGCTGGAGAATGTCTCAAATTGTTTGGCTTATAGTGGTTCCAGAGAAAGACTGAGCCATTTGAAGATGACAGAATTGCCAGAAAAATGATAAAAGCTTTTTCTTTCCTTTTTGTTTTTTTTTCTTTTTTTTTCCCCTATTGTTATCCCGAAGATGCCATCATTGCTGAAACAGATGCTGACAGAATTCTGCTAAGGATAGCACAAGGCATGGTAGCTCTTTGCTGTCTCCCACTCTGTTGCTCTTTTGGAGTTCCGGTGTGACAGATTACGTTTTTGACAATATCCTCTTTGGCATCCTTAAGGAATTGTACTTCTTACGACTTCAGTCCATTGCCTTATCATTTTTATTATCAATTACCATTCCCAAAGGGGCACAAAGGGGTTAACTAGGTGGTACAATGTATACAGTACCAGGCCTGGAGTCAGGAAGATTCATCTTCCTGAGTTCAAATCTGGCCTCAGCCACTTACTAGCTATGTGACCCTGGGCAAGTCATTTCACCCTGTTTGCCTCAGTTTCCTCACCTGTAAAATGAGCTGGAGAAAGAAATGGCAAAAGACTCCAGGATCTTTGCCAAGAAAACCCCAAATGGGGTCATGAGGAATTGGACTGAAAAGGACTAAACAAGAAGGGAATAAAACTGATGAACATTTATTTTTGAAAACAATAGAAATCCGTTCATTTTTATACTTCTAGTTGGTTTACTAGAGAGAAGATGCTGACAAAGGAAAAAGAAAAATCTGATTAAAATTTCAAATAAAACAGTGACTAGATAGAATAATTTGATAAAAAAAAAAAGCCCAAGTCAATTTTAACTCAGCACCAAGAAAAATCTGAGAAGTGATTGTATTTATCTGAAGAGGTAGTAGTGCTTTGGGTTTAGAATCTTTCCTTGTGGTAGCTTCCTCTCTGTTCTCAACAGCAAACTCTGCCTTTATAGATCTGTCTACAAACAGGTCACTATCAGGATAGGAGATGCTGGTGAGGAGAGGAAGGGAAGAGTAGGCTGGCTCTTGCCTCAGACATCTTAGTTTATTTCTGGGATATTTAAGTGTGCTTGAACATATCTTGCACCAAAAGCCTTTAAAACACTGGGAGAGAGGTGAAGGCTAGAGGAGGGAGCACATGGGAGGGAAAACCAACATCCTTTATTGCACGAGATAATTCCTAGAAGCTACCAACAGCACTTCCTATACTTGGAAGGTTTAAGAACTTCATTTCCCAGATAAAGCCATACCTTTGCCATTTTCACTAAGGAATACTTCAGAAGAGACAATTCCCATGACCATTTTGTAAGGTAAGGTAAAGTGTTCCAACTAACACCAGTTTTCTATCACTCTACAAGGAGGTAAACTGTCTAATTTTATCAGTATTTTATAACATAGCATAGAAAATTATAGAACTGGAAGGGACCTTAAAGATTCTTAGTTCCAGCCCCATATTTTATATGTGTGAACTCTGATGCTGATGGTGTAATGGAAAGTACATTGGGCTGAGAATCAAGGAGTATGGACTCTAGCTTGGGCTACACCATTAATGACCAGCATGACCTTGGACAAGCTATTTCTACCCCTTAAATATCTGTTTCCTCCTCTGTAAAATAAGAGAATTGTCAGAAGACTGATAATAAAGCATGCCTCTTGCAAGCCTCTTGGCAGGGAAATGATGGACTTGAGGTACAGAATGAGACATATATTTTCAGCACAACCAATGTCCTGATTTGCTACATTTGACTATACATATTTGTTACAAGGGAGGATGACTTAGTAGGAAGCAATAAGAGATGCAAAAAAGAAAGAAAAGGAAATGAAGAAAATGGTATTGATAAAGCAAAAAACAAAAGAAGAAAAGAAGAAAACAAAAGTTCAGAAGGGGCTGCAGAGTAATTTTGCTTCTAGCATATTAAATTTAATATAAGCTTTTATGAAACACTTATTTAACCAAATTTCACAGTCTCACATACAATCCTCTTTTTTCTTTATTGTTCTGTATATTGCAGTTTTGTGTTTATTAACGATTAAGTTCATTAAAAAGAGAAAAATTTGAAAAGAAAATGAAGAAATTGGAATAGATAATCTCTAGAGTGCCTTCTGGCTCAAAAATTCTATGAGTCTACCTAAAGAAAACAATCAATTTATGCACATATGCATAATTTTCCATAGCAAGTACTCCTATTTAATCCCAAACTTGCCTAAATGGTAAAATAGCAATGATACTTGATACTGACATGAATATGGAAGCCAAGTCACAAATGACGTCAACTCTACTGTCCTTCAATAATTGAAAACCCTGATTATTTTCCAGCTGTATTTTTGCCTAAAGCCAACATGAGATTGAATCTTGCCTATGTTGTGAAAATATCCAATAATTAGCTTTGTGTGATCCTCAACAACAAATATTAAATGAGTTCCTGCTCTGTGCAAAGTTCTTTGAATAATGCTGATTAACCAAAGAGACAGAAGATATGGCCATAAGCTAGTTCAGTGGACCATTATTTAGACTTTTTCTTTTTCCTTTTGCTCTAATAACTTCGGATACTGACTTTTCCGAATAAAATTTTACATATTGTTTCAAATAGGATATTAGAATTAATTGCGCTTTTAAAAATCCATGCTGTAGGAATTTCCCTCAGGTACTTTGCCATAATTCAGCATAATTTAAAGAAATGACAGCCTTGTCCCTGAAGGGATGGGAAAAAAGGAAGGAGTAAAGGTAAATTTCTACCTGAAGTGCTTTGGAAATGAAGCCATCGTAAGTAGATGTTTGCAGTTAGTATAAGTAGATCTATGTACATTACTAGAGCTAGTTATGACTAACCTCTGCCCATCCAACTGCACCTGCCCACTACAGGACAGAGGGGCCTAGGAAATTGAATCCAGGGAAGTCTTTACACTTACAGACATAATTTTTGTGCCTTACACACCTAATTCAGTCTGCCATTTTTTCTGCCTCGTTGCCAGAAAGAATACATCTGGCATCCAACGAGCAACTAAAATAGTCTCTCTCCCTAATCTTTATTGGATTGTATCCTGTACTGTAGTATAGCTAGTGAAATTGAGTATTACAGGCAGGTTTGTTTGGGGTAGAAAAAGAACACAGATTTAAATGAATAAAGAAACCTGAGTTGCCAGTTAATCCACTAAGGTAGGAAGACAATTTACTTGAGGATTACATTATTATTGTATATAAACTAGACTTTTAGTCATGTTGCATTTGTGACTTTAAATGTGATTACTCACACATCTTTCTGTTATTGTTTTTTCTTTATCCTAGTGCAAAAGTTTGACTGGAATCTGTGAGGCTATAATTTCTCTGTCTTCTGATACTCTGTCACCTCACTCTGGACACTTAGAAGTTGTCTACATCAACAACACAGCAACCAGTGAGGAACTGGTAAGTCAATTTACAAAGCATGGAAAGAGAGAAGCTTTGAAGCAGACATGGTAGTGGGCTCTTTTTCTTTTTCTTCTTATTTTAAGGTAAAACTGACAATGGTAAGTTAACATAAAAAGGAAACTGAACTCTGAATAATTATAATAAGCTGTGAACTGGTCCAACCATTCTGGAAAGCAATTTAGAATTATGCCCCCAAAGTAATTAAACTCTATATACCATTTAACCCAGTGATATTGCTACTAGGTCTGTGCCCCAAAGAAATCAAAGAAAAAGAAAAAAAATGATCCATATGTACAAAAATATTATAGCAACTCTTTTTGTGATGGTAAAGATGGAAACAGAGGGGTAGCAGTACCCATCAATTGGCTAAACAAGTTATGGTATATGAATGTGACAGAATATTATTGTGCTATAAGAAATGGTGAAGGAGATGGTTTCAGAGAATCTTGGGAAGACTTTTATGAATTGATGTAGAGTGAAGTGTACAAAACCAGAGAGCAATTTATGCAATGACAATAATATTGTAAAGACAAACAACTTCAAAAACTTTGGGAACTCTAGAGAACACAATGATCAACCATAATTCCAAACGATTCATGATAAAATGTGATATTAACTTCCACATAGAGAGAGTTAGGGTTAGTTAACTCTAACTTAGAGTGCAGATTGAGGCTTTTTTGGGACATGGCCAATATGTAAATTTATCTTTCTTAACTGTACATGTTTACAATGGGTTTTGTTTTTCTTACTTTCTTAATGGAGCTGGGAAGGAGAGAATTCAGACATGAAAATAAAACAAAAGTGAATTTTTAAAAATAATTATAATAGCCAATCTTGGTCCTAGAGAACAGATAACAAAATATACCTTCCTTTTCTTATCAGAGCAGCAGAGGAGTACAGGGGTTTAATGATTGTATATGTCGTTAGATGTAGTCACTGTATCAGTTGCTTTTGCTTAGCTAGTTTTCTTCAGTGCAAGAGAGATTTTAATTTTGGTGTGAATTGGTTTGGAGTAGGTGGTAATGTATCCTATAATGACCATTGAGTAAAAAGAAATGATTGATGACCAGAGATGATCTGCAATGTCCCTTTGTGCCCAATAGTTCCATGATTCTCTAATTCTATTTGCATTTCTGTGAACTTCAGGTGATTTCTTAAAGTAGCTTTTTCTATAGCCAACAGAAAGGCAGATACAGTATATCACTTATTAATTTCTGTATGTATTTTCTTAGAATCATTTTCTTCTGTTGCTCTAATCTTCTCCTATTGTCATAGATACATATACTGGAAGCAATAAAGTCATGTGGAATGTTTAATTGCGGTGTAATGGTCTGATGAGCTGCAGAGGTTAGAACTTTTTATAGCAACTTATTTGGACTGAGATGCTGTTAATGGTATGCAGAAATGGATGAGCCTTTTAAAGACTTGTCAACTTCTGGCTGAATTGTGTGGATGACATCATTAAACTCTAAACTACATGCCACAATGATAGTGTGATATGTACTGTAGTTAAGGTATCTTATAAAGGCAATAAACAATAAGAGTCCCAAGCTAATCTTAGTCTTAGAGATCTGGGCACAGTTTCTACCAGTAGAAAATCAGATATACAAAGCCAGTACTGGCTGGAAAGGAAGCAATAGCTGAGACTTGTGTCCACTCCAGAGTCCTTTTGCTTTGTTGGTTTGAAAGATGCAGCATGGTCAAGCAGTGAGATTGTTGTATGGGATTGGAGGAGACTTGGATTCTACTGCATTTACTAGCTGAGGGATCCTAAGTGCTCTGTGCCTCAGTTACATGGAGATAACAATAAATTATCTACCTCGTGGCGTTGCTGTGAGCAAAGTGCTTTGTAAAACTTGGAGTGCAATGGAATTCCCCCATAGTGCTTAGAGAAAGAACACCAGTAGGAAGGTCTTCTAAATAGCTGTTTGCATAGAAGGAAAGAAATAAAAGTGCTAGAGAGGAGAGTTCTGTCAAGGTAAGCATTAGCCACTTCCTACAGTAACCAACTCAAACCCGTTGGTGAGTTATCTACCCCAAGCATGTGAAGACTTCCCTGGCATAATAGAGGAATGAGAACACTTTGAAGGCAGTGGAGTGCTTACAGTTCGGTCAGACATTGAAGAAGCCAGGGTATCCACTGCCTCCTGAGCCATCACCAGTCATCTTGACTTTTGTCTTGCCACTGGACTCTGATGACTCTAGAAGAGAGAGTGAGGCTGACAATTTCATGCAACTCTGTCTCACTTAAATCCAATTTACACATGAGTCAAAAAGATACCACCCATACCATTTTACTATTTCATCATTCTATTATTTTACTATTCAACTATTTTACTATCTTTTCATCTTACTATGTTACAATTTTACTATTTTATCTACCTTGAAGTCCTGTGGCAATGGGCTAGTGACAGCAACAGATGTGGATACACTAGGAACTCTAATCACAACCCTGCACACAGGTGGCCCAGGCCATAGAGTCATATTCTTGCTGGACTAAAACAGCAGTGAGATTCATCAGCCCCTTGTGTGTCTGAGCAGCCTTTTTAAAGACCACACTGCTAACCTCCTGGCACGAAGAAAGAGCTAGAAAAGGTGCCCTAAAAATTGTCTGCTTCACCTAACCCTGGCCTGCTTACTGCAGCAGGTAAGGATCCCACCCTGTGGTCAAAACACACGTACAAAAACTTTTTCAAAGATGATTCTACTCACCACTGGTACATGGAATGTACACACACTTATGGAGAACATGAAATCCATAAGCCTGAAAGATGAACAGCTCTCGTTGTGAGAGAAGTCAGCAGGTACCATATCCAAATAGCAACCCTGAGTGAAACAAGGCCAGCGATTGAAGGCCAGCTTACGGAAGTTGGGGCTGGATACATGTTTTTCTGGAGTGGCCACCATGATGAAGAGTACCATAAAGTTGGCATAGATTTCACAATAAAATCTAATCTAGTCAACAATCTGGTATGCTTCCCAAATGAATGCCTTCATTCAAATGAAGGAAAGGCTCATGACAATGTGATTGCTACTTGCATCAAAATGCCCATGCCACCATCATTAGTGCCTATGCTCCCATCATGATGAACCTTGATGAGGTCAAAGAAAAATTTTATGAAGACCTGGAAACCCTTGTCATCTATGTGTCAAAAGAGGACAAACTTATAATTCTGAGTGACTTTCAATACCAGAGTAGGTACAGATTATCAGATATGGCAGGGAGTCCTTGGGAGGAATGGAGTCAGAAGCAACAATGGTCACTTACTACTGAAGACTTGTGTGTGTCATGACTTCATCACCAGCACTGTCTTCCATTTACCTAAATGCAATAAAACTTCATGGATGTACCCTCACAGCAAGCACTGATATTTAATAGATTACATCATTGTAAAGAGAAGAGACAAACAGGTTGTGAGAGTGACAAGGGCAATGTGTGGTTCAGAGTGTTGGACCAATCATAGACTTAGCCTTTCCAAGCTAAACACTTACATTCAAAGAAAGTGACAGCCCCAAGGCCAGATGGAAGATTCAACTTCAGAAGAGTCAACATCAACAGATTAGAATGCTTCTCTCCGTATGAACAGTTTGTTGCTAACTTGGAGGGAAAGCTGAGCCAAGACGCAGTTGGAAACAGTGGAGCAGAAAAGGAATGGGCAGCTTTCAGAGATTTGGTGTACAGCACTGCGTTTGCCCATCTGGTCTAGAAAACTCATAGATATCAGGATTGGTTTGATGAAAACGATGGGGAAATTTAGAAACTACTAAATAAAAATGAGAACTCTGCAAGGTTTACCAGCAGAACGTCTCTAAGAAGGCAGCGTTTAACTCCATCAAAAGTAAAGTGTAAGCGAAGTTTGGAAGGATGCAGGATTCTTGGTTCAGTAAGAAGGCAGATGAGAATCAGTTTTATGCTGATAATAACAATCCAAAGCATTTCTGTGATGTCCTGAAGGCTATTTATGGGCCATAGACCTTTGGTACATCTCAACTACTCAGTGCTGATGGAGTCACATTGATTAGTAACAAGGACATGATCCTGGAGAGATCAGTTAAACACTTCCATAGAGTTCTCAACAGACCATCATCAACCAATGCTGAAGCCATTGACTGTATACCTCAGGCGGAAGTCAATCACTTTCCAGCTGAACTTCCAATTGAAAAAGAGGCTCTTCTCATGTGGCAAAGCACCTGGTGCTTATTCCATTCCAGCATAGATCTACAAGGCAGGGGGTCTGCTGCTCATACAAAAACTGACTTAAATCTTCTGGGTTATATGACAAAAAGAGGTTATTCCCCCAGCAGATTAAGGATGCCTCCATTTTTCCATCTCTATAAAGGAAAGGGAAACAGGTTGTCCTGTGACAATCACTGGAATAAGGGCGGGGGAAATCTCTCTCTTAGTCATTGCCAGCAAGATTCTTGCCAGAGTCCTCCTTAATCAGCTGATGCTTACCTGGAAGATGGTCCTCTACCCAAGAGCCAGTGTGGCTTCAGAAAAGGACAAGGAATGGTCGACATGGTGCTTGCTGCCTGACAACTCCAGGAGAAACTCTGGGAGCAGAACAGAAGTCTGTACACAATGTTCATCCATCTGACCAAAGTCTTTAATACTGTCAGTCTTGAGTGTTCATGGAAGATCATGACAAAATTTGGTTGCTTGGATGAAATGTTGTGGAGTAAAGAAATCAGGTTCTGCTTCTAGGAGCCAAAATGGCAGAGTAAGAAATAAGCAGCTCTCACCCTTCCTTATTAACCTCTGAAAGCCCAGAAAATATCGTCCCAGGAAAAACCCTAGAACAGCTGAACCAGCAGAAAGATGGGGTGCAGCAGTCCTGTAGCCCAGGAAGCTTGAGGGATTAACAGGAAAGGCCCCTCTTGCCCTGAGGGAGAGGGAGCAGTACAGAACGGGAGACATCCCAGCAAGCTAGTGGAAAGCCCCACCTCAGCATACCAGGGGGAGATCCTGAGACCCAGGTGGTGGAACAGGCAAACACCAACACCAGGACCCCCAAGTGCCTCAGTATGGGCATAGGAGCCAGTGGAAACTGGCTTGGAAAACCACCATATGCCATGGCGTTCTTCAGCAGCAAAGTCTTCCAGTGCCTTAGCAAAACTCTGAGAAGCACAACTCCAAGAGGAAAAGCCCCAAGCGGAGAAACATTCTGTAGCAGTGAAACATCCATCTGCAAGGAGCCAAAGAAAGTGAAAGGCCTGGGTGAGCAGGCATCCTCCAGGGGCCAGACTCCCAATTCCTACCCCTAGAGCACCAGTGCTACTGATTCCAGCCCAACACCAAGTAAGCTGCCAGAACCCTACAGCCTCCAACTGCCAGCATTTGAGGCCCCAGCACACAAAGCCAGTGACCAGGCCTGAGGCTCCCAGCACAAGAAGCTTGGGTCAGTTCCCCCTGCTCCCCAGCAGGAGAGCTCAATTTTTTTAAAGGCCAGGAAATAAGCAAACATCATGAGCAAAAAGAAACGTACCATAGATTCTTATTATGGGGATAGTGAACATCAAGGCAGAAATTCTGAAGAGGACAACATTGTCAACAAACCCACATCTGGAACCTCAAAAGGGAATATGAAGTGGTCTGAAGCCCAAAAAGCCGTCTTGGAAGAGCTCAAGAAGGATTTTAAAAGTCAAATAAGAGAGGTAGAAGAAAAATTGGGAAAAGAAATGAGAGGTATGCAAGAGAGAGTCAACAGCTTGGAAAAGGAAGAGCAAACATTAACTGTAGAAAACAAGTCCTTAAAAATACAGTTGACCAAATGGAGAAAAAGTACACCGAAGAAAACAAGTCTCTAAAAAATACAGTTGGCCAACTGGAAAAAAAAAAAAGTACTCTGAAGAAAACAACTCCTTAAAAAGCAGAATTGGCCAAACAGAAAAGGAGACACAGAAATTCACCGACCAAATGGAAAAGGAGGTACAAAATCTAATAGAAGAAAACAATTTGTCAAAAATTAGAATTGGGCAAGTGGAAGCTAATGACTCTATGAGAGAGCAAGAATCAGTCAAACAGAAGCAGAAGAATGAAAAAATAGAAGAAAACGTAAAATACCTCACTGGTAAAACAACTTACCTGGAAAATGGATCCAGGAGAGACAATTTAAAAAATTATTGGTCTACTTGAAAATCACAATGAAAAAAAAAAGAGACTGGACAGCATCTTTCAGGAAATCATCAAGGAAAACTGCTCTGAAATTTGGTTGCCTGGAGAATTACATCAATATTGTATGGCAGTTTCATGATAGCATGCTTGCACAGGTTCTGGACACTCTGAAGGTAACTTTGAAGAACTTTGGAATCAGTTGTGAGACATGGGAGATGCTAGCACAGAACCATCCAGCATGGTGTGGCTGCATCAAAGAAGACGCTGTGCTCTATGAGCAAAGCAGAATAAAAGTAGCTCAAAAGAAATGTGAGATGCTCAAATTTAGAGCCATCTCCACTCCAAATGTTCATATGGACTATTTGTGCCTGACCGGTGGCCGAACCTTCCAAGCCCACATTGGTCTGATCAGTCACAGTCTTACCCACTGTACCTTGACCCTGACACAGTGATGTCATTTTGATCCTCCTTGAGAATGAAGGACAACAATAAAAATAGACCCAGTATTTAGTTTCGTAATATTAGGGAGAAAGCATGGTGGGGTGGAAAGTTCCCTGGATCCAGTATCAGAAGACTCAGATTCCAGTGTCTGTGCTGCTGCTTCCTGGTTGTGTGACTTTGGGCAAGTACCATATGAACATTTGGAGTGGAGATGGCTCTAAATTTGAGCTCCTCCAACAATGAGTCGCTTTCCAGCACAGACCCCTCTTTCACAACCAGGCTGATATTTGGGCACATTGACATCATCTCTAATAACACCTTCTGGCTATGAGCAACACCTCTAGGACCAACTCCCATGTGGCAGGTGACTTTGCCTCCACAATCATGGTTCGATTTCTCAAATATATCTTGAATGCTCAGGTCCTTTTTCAGACTAATACTTCTAGAAGTAGCTGTTGGAGGAGAAAATCCTTTGCTCTTGGTCACCCTTCAAAACACTCGTGAATATACAAGTGATAGTGACGGTAATAGAGCAGCTAATGGTAAAGATATTTATACTCTGGGAAACAGTAGGTAGGCCAAATCCTGATTATCTGTGTGACTAATTCAGAACACCAAATAGTATAAAAGCATTAATTGTTAGCTCTGATATACAATATTACAATAATTTGGCAATGGATTTACAGATAAAAGTAATGTTTGGTTTAGGCAAGCATTACAAACAGTTTGTATTTCCTGGGATCACCACCTGAATGAAAATGGGGTTAAGCAGGCCCAACCCCAGCTGGATTTCAGTAAATAGCAGTCTTGATGCTTTTCCCCATTAGCTAGGTAATCAAGAAACAGTCATAGCTGTCAGAACAAGTGAAACATTTACACAGTATTTTTGTAGTATCTAAAAATCCAATATAGTAACTTATGGAGCCTTATACTTTAAAGCAAATGAATATTGAATTATTTCAAAGGGTGAAGAAATTTAAAAGAGAATTGCAATTTAAAAAAGAAACCCTGGAATACTATATGGCCACTAGCTGTTTTTATTTCATAAAAATAACTTTCTAAAAAAGTGTTTGTCTATGATCTCTTTCTCTCTCTCTTGATAAATAGATATTTTAAAAATATATATAATTTAGTTGCTTCTGTGAGTGATTACAAAGATACTGAAAGAAAAGATACAAAGCAAAGTGACTCTGATAGCAGCATGGTACATGGAAAAGAATATTGGACTCGGAGTCAGAAGATTGGATTTTAATCCTGGCTTATTAGCTATGTAAACTTGGGCAAGTCACTTAAATGGTCTGGTATCAGCTTCCTCATCTTTAAAGGCAATGAGAGTGTATGTTCTCTCCAGCTCAGCATGTTGTACCAAATGTGTAAAAGGCTTCAAGATAGGTACTGGAGCTCAGATTTCATTGCTCTAAGGAAGTCCCAGGTGAAGATTTTCCTTTTCCTAATAGAGGTCAGCACCTTCTCTACCACTTGGGCCTCAGAGAGTTGTCTAGCCCAGTGGTGTTAAACTCAAATAGAAATGGGGCCCACTATACTGTACCTAAGTATCTCTGTGGGCCTCATATTGACTTAAAAACCACACTTTTATATGTTTCTTTTTTATTAATACATCAACACATTAAAATCTGATAGAAACTACCATTTCATCTAGTTCCGGCCACATTAAGAAGTGTTATGGTCTGCATGCAGCCTGTTGGCCTTAACATGTCTGGTCAGAGCACTGTGAGGTTAAGTCACAGAGCCAATAATATATTGAAGGTGGTACTTCCTGGCTTGGAGGCCACCTTTCTATCCACTAGACCACACTAACTCTAACTTGCCTTAAAGCACTGTGGAAGTGTAAGCTTTTTGTTATCATTGTTAGAAACTAGAGTTCAAATAATATTTATTTTTAAATGAAAAAAGTGCCTCTCTAGTGAATAACAGCCTGTCCCCAAATTGCCCCATCACTTGGCATTTTATTCTCTGTTCAGGGAAGAGAGGCTTGGCATCATGCGGGTGCTGTTTTGTCTGTCTACCTATGGCCTAGCTCTGGAGAGGAATCAAGTAATTATCAAAGGCACTGGGCTTGCTGTGTGTTCTTCTTGTACCTTCCTGCCTCAAGCCTCCAAACAATGACCCTGAGAAGCTCCCCACAGGAGCTAGACCAGGTGAGGCAGATGTGACTGACTCCCTGGGAGCTGTGTGAAATTGGCAGTTTCTGAAGCTGTTCTTAACAATAGCTCACACTTAAGATAGGATGCTCTGTACTCTTGAGGTTGGTGCACTAAAAGGCTATCCAGGTCAGTTTTGTTTGGTTTTGCTCCAAACAACATTAATTGCACACCCTTATGGGACCCTCTAGTTACTTCTGTGGAAATATGGCTATATGTGTTGTCACATTAGTGAAAATAGAGGCAGCTAGCTACTCTGTTGACTTTTTGAGATGGCTGGGGTGGGGGATAGGAAGGGGGAGATGTCTAATTTTGTGATACCAAGCTGACTCAATTAGATATTCAGGATAGCTCTTGACTGAGACAAGCCATCTAGTTTGATTCAGCAGTTCTAATAAAAAAAAAAAACTTGAATTTCTGTCCCCTGGAATTAACTGTTCAGAAATGGCTCTGATCAGAAGCAGAAACACTTAGGCAGCTGAGCCCCAAACAGACGTTCCCTTTGGCTGAAAACATATAATTTTCCATGAAATCAACTTTCAACAGATGCTTCGCAAATCCTGACTTTGGCAGGGCTGCCAATGGCCAGCCTTGGGGTAGAGGCCATGGGGGGTGGGGGTTCCCTCCTCAGGGGCTGATACAAACCACCAGTAAGGGAGTGTGACGGGTTAGAGTATGGATTATAGTTAGCCAAGTCAAATTTTCTTATCTTTGCAAGGAAAATTGTGAGGAATTTAGATGTTTTATTTGGATTTTAAATGTATATCCAACTGACAGGAGAAAAATACAAACATTCTTTTTCTTCTTCATGTGTGTCTATAAAATAGAGCTTCTTCTTTTCTTTCTTTTAAAAAAAATGTATTTGAGTTAAGTGGGTTGATGCTGTTTACTCCCACATTTAAATCTAGCTCAATCAACAAATCAGTCAGCCAATAAACATTATGAAACCCTTCCACTATACCAGGTACTGTGGGGATACAAAGGAAGACAAAAATTAGTCACTACAGGGAGACAACATGCAAACAACTGTGTACAAATGAGCTAGAAATTGCATAAACAGGAAATAATCAAGTAGAGAAGGCCCTAGAATGAAGGCAGATCAGGAA